TATTTCACGCACTGATTGGTTTCTGACTTATCTGGTTTTAGCAAACTGGACAGTGGTAGTGTAGGTTTGCTGGTTTAATAAGGATTTGCTGTGCTGGTTTAGTAAAACAAGAGAGAAAGATAAGAACTCATTTATTACAATTATATGTATTTACTATAGAGTCTGTCTGAAGTTGAGTTTCATATGTATTGGGCTAATAGGAGACAAAAAAATTAAGGAAAACAAGAAAGGAACATGAATTAAGAGTAACAGAAGGAGAATACAAAACAGATGAAAAAATGATCCAAATCCTGAAAGAATTATTAAACTTTTATATAAAAAGAAAAAAGTAGGGAAAACTGCTAAAAGCAGAAGGTGGCAACAACTGCTGCATAGTGGCAGTACTTCCTTCAGTGCTGGTTGGAAGTGTTTGCTGCTGGAGTGAAAAGCCCTCATGAAAAATGAATGCTGTTTGTGTACTTCTCAGTTTATTTCCTTTTGAGCTTTCTCTCAGCACAGTCACAGGGCTCAAGAGCACGAACAGTTGAAGGCACAGACCATGTGTCAACAAAATTCAGCTCCATTCACTGGCTGAGCAGTCACCACAGCCTTCAACAGGCCACTGGATTCCTCCTTTTCTGCCAGCAAAAGGAAAAATAACACTCCCTGTGTACTTCATAGGAGCATGGTGGTATTACAGTGATTACAGTAAAATAGGGTTTGTTAACAATTTGGAAAGAGTAACTCTCCACTCACCAAGTTCTGTCAGGGGTTGGAATTTCAACTCTCTGAACAAACAAAGCAGGAGAATGCACAGTATTTTACTTTTAACTCTTATTACATATTAGTACGGCAAATGAAGGAACTTCGTGTTACAGCACAAGTGAATGGATTTGAACATGCTGTCCAACAGCCTCACAAGGTGTTTTCATCAGCATTTTGCTTTGGTTACCCCATTATTTCTGAGTTGGCCTGTCTGGCAATATTCTTTTATCACAAACTTTTGCAACCCAGGTACTGACAGGAACAGATTATTGTATCATTTTGTCTAGCAACAGCACTCAGCATCCGAAATTAAGAGTAATCAAAGAACAAAATGTAAGAAACAGCATTAGGATTACAGTGAATGGCTCAGAAGAGGAGCCACATTGAGGGGGATTCGTGGAATTGGATGTATATTGTGTTAATTCTGTCACTCCAAGAGCTGTAATGTCACCATTTTCCTTTGGAGAGTAGAGTGCTGCCTGAACTGCCTGACTGATCAATGGGCTTGGAATGAAGCTCTGTTTCCTGGGACGAAAGAGCAGGATGAAGAGATGAAAAAGACCTTTCAGAGATCATTCAGTCTGGCTGATAAAGGATTATTCTCCATGATCTTTATTTAGTCCAATTCTAAAATTCCTAGTTGTAGCGGGAATGTTGATATTTTTTGGTCTGCGTTTGGCCCCAGCCACCTGTAGTAGTTTATATTCTCCCTGCCAAGTTCACTGATAAAACAGTGAATTCGTCCTTGGAGGGAGAACTTCTGTATAAACCATTTTAATTGGTGTTCTACTATTGGTTCATTGTCTGCCAAGGGCATTTGAAGGAGAAATCGAAGAGGAAGGAAGGAAGGCTCGACCCCCAACTCAATTAGAAAAGACCCCTAAAGCATACTGCGCGTGCGTCGGGGGATTTCCGAAGTTCTCACGCATGTGCTGAAGGGATGAACTTACATAACCAAGAGGGTGGGATTGGGAACCTCTGGCGGGGCGGTACTGGCCACACCTTCCCGGGCACTAGGTCCCGGGCAGAGAGGTGCTCAATGGATTGTATAAAAGCAGACAGGTTTTCCGTGTGTGGTGGGCTTGCTCTACACGAAGGATCAAGTTGCCTTTAGCGAGGACGCCTGCTATCATGGGAGCCTGCTAACCCTCCGGAAAACGCAGCTGCTGCAGAGGATTTTATAGTATCTGGAGTGGGTAAGATCATCCCGTAAATGGCACCTAAGTGAGTAGGGTGTTGTATCTCCTCTTTGGTTTTCTCTTTCTCCCAGGTGCCAGTTTATTTCAGCCACTTCTATGTAATAAATATCTGTTTTATTGAGCTTTCAACAGTGTCTTGGTTTGCAAGCGTCAGTATGTTCCAAACCTTCCCTAATACACCAGTCAACAAAGTTCCTATGACAAATATAGTTTATTCTCAAAAATGATAATTTTTCTAACATTTGACAAAATTTTTATACTTGTATCAATGATTTTGGTCATTCATCACCATTAATCAACGATGATATATAAAAAATATATATTCTAAATGCATATTAATATGCTTAGAAGAAAACAAAATGGTCTGATAACTTTTTATGCATTTAAGTACATAAACATCTAATAGTGACAAGAGGACCAGGACTGTTTATGCTTTTGTATGGCAAAGACGAAACGGAAACCTGAGACATTTATTCAGGTAAAAGGAGGAAGAGAAAGGGGAGAACCGCCCATTTTGGGACTTCTTATCTAGTAATTTTAGAACTACAGCAAATGCATTTCCCTTGATAAAGAGGCACTCACTGCAACCAACTGCAGTGCCCTGGCAACGGTACTGGAGATGACCAAGCTGATACCAGGTGCTACAAGAACATGCCGTGAATCCCATCAGCCTGATTTTTTTCAGCCATGGCAACTCCTTTGCTGACTCCGATGCAACACCAGGGCATCATGAGTGGCCCATCAGCCACTTTTTATATGAACTGTGGCTCAAACCCAACAATTCTTCCCTAAGAAAATCCAGAGAGACAGTAACAAAGCTAAAATTAGAAATCAGGAGCTGTAGCTTCCAAGGCAATGCACATTATGTGACATTTTTTCAATACCACAGGTATTTTCTGCTAGCAAAAAAATGGCTTAGAGACTACACTCCACAATGCAGAAATTCTCCCTCAAAACTCAGGGCTGGGTGACAACATGGTGTTTTACTCACCAAATTTCAAAACACCAACATTTAAAATAAACGGTGAAGAATGAGACCAGTAATTAATTCTGGTGATTAAAAAATAGCTACAGCATCACACCCTGTAGTTATAATGGCATCACTCAATCTAGGCAGCTGCTTTTAAAGATGATATATGCAGTCAAAATACTAACTATGGGGGCACATCATGCCATTAATAATTCTCCAGAATAACTTCACGAAGCAAAACTCAGTTTATTTATACCTTATGTTAAAAACTGCAAACTTAGATAGAACATTTAATTGATCTGGAGTAGTGAAAATCATCTTTAAATATGAATTAAGGTACATATTTGAAAGACTTGGATGCTAACAGGAATTTTAAGAAGAAAGAGAAATGGTATATTTCAGGAATATTCCAGAAAAAAACCTACCAAAACTTGGTCCCTCATGAGCTCTCCACACTCAGTAAATCACAAGGAAATTAGGAAAGGCACAGTTGGAGAATGTCACATCACAACCCACCACTTGCATATGGAGGCTCTCCCTGAGCAGTGTGGTCTCCACACTGATGGGGTAGCTCCGGTATACTGTTAACAGTCATGTTAACAGTCATGCCATTTAAAATGGCAGTTTAGAGCTAAATAGGTCAAACAAACACTTTACATCTATCCCAACATAGTGCACCCTGCACCCGCTGCAGTTTGGAAAGCTTAGTCGTACCAGACAAGACTTTACCAGTGAAAAATGTATTGTTTAATAGACTCATAAATTTAAAAATAATTCTCCCAGCATTTGTGTAGCAAACCAACTTTGGCACACCTACCAAACTCTCAGATCTACAGACAGTTACAGAGACAATGATCTGGGTAGTGGGGGGAATAAAATACTATTGGGCATCTTCTGGAAACAGCTGAGAAAGGAGCATGAGACGACACAATGCTCAGGTGACCGCATGGCCATTTTAACTTCCCACTTCCCCCTCCTCAAAAAGTAATAGTAATATATTTATCCTATGGGGAGAGGAAGGTAACTAAGCCTGTGAAAGTGATCAATGTTTAGATGAACAATGGCATTGCTGAGCTCCTGGAAGAACAGCCTGGGCTGAGCTGAGCTGGGCTCACATTTTTGGGGGGCTGGAGGAGGCTGACAGCAGAGCTGGGCGACAGGGAGGGCTTTTCCAGGGGCTGTCTGGGAACCTGCCCCTCGCAGTGCCTCACACTGGGAACAACTGGGCTGGGGCAGGCAGGACCCTCACCCTGCTTATGACCTTCATCCCCCTCAGCTCCTGACACCCCCTCATCTCTGCATTCCCCCTCATCCCTTCAGTCTCCTTATCCCTTGTAGCTCCCTCATTCCCACAGACCTCTCATAATCCCTCATATCCAGCTTATCCCCCTCATCCCCGCTGCCTTCTTGTACCTCCCCAGCCCCTGACCCCCCTCATCCTCTGCAGCCCCTCAAAGTCCCTGAGATGCTCATCCCCTTGATTCCCCACATCCCCCTCAGGTCCTTCATCCCCCTCATTCCTACATCCCCTTCGGTCCCCTCATTCCCCTCGTGATCTTCACACCCTGCCACCCCTCCTCATGCCTCTCAGCCTCACAACCCCCTCATCCCTTTAGTCTCCTAATCCCTCGTAGCTCCCTCAGTCCCACAGCCCCCTCATCCCCCGCCACCCTCTCAGGTTTCTCATCCCCCTCAACCCCAGATCCCCCTCATTCCCACATCCCACTTATACCCTTCAGTCCCCTCATCCCCCGCCGCCCCCTCAGGTCCTGCAGCCCCTCATCCCCCCCGCCCCTTCATCCTCCTCATCCCCCTCTACCCCTCTTTCCCCCTTATCCCAGTCAAACCCACCAGCCCCTCCATCGCCCGGAGCCCCCCATCGCTCCCGCTCCCTCGTTCCCCCCACACCCCCCCGTTCCCGATTTCCCGTCCCCCACATCCCTGCTCTGCGCACGCGCGGCCTCCTCCCTCCCCCTTCCCCCTGCCCGCGGGGACGCGCATGCGCGCGGGACGGAACGGGGCCAGCGGGAGGAGGAGGAGGAAAAGAGAAGGAAAAGGGGAAAGAGGAGGAGGAGCGCACGGTATGCGGGGGCGGTGAAGCGCGGGTCGTCCCTCCCGCTCCAGCCACCTCCCTCTGCCTCTCCCGCTCTGCCCCACCCCGTCCGCGGGGCCGCGAGGGTCGTCCCGGGAGCGGGAAGGCCGAGGAGAAGGAGGAAGAGCCTGTCCGGTGCTGGCCTGGCCTCCAGCGGCTGGCGAGGCCCGTGTCCGAGTGGGACGGACGCACTCGGGTCTACCCGTGGCTCTTTCACAGAATCCCAGGATTTTTGATGTTAGAAGGAACCTCTGGAGATCATCCAGTCCAACCCCAGCCCAGGCAGGGTCATCTGGAGCAGATGACACAGGGACGTGTCCAGGTGGGTCTGAGATGTCTTCAGACAAGGGAGACTCCACACCCACCCTGGGCAGCTGTTCCAGGTGCTGCCACCTCCATGGAAAGAAGTTCTGCCTCATGCTAAGGGGGAACTTGTGTTTGAGTTTATGGCCTTTGCTGCTGTCCCTGGGCATCACTGAACAGAGTCTGGGATCATCTTGAGACATCCCTTGGGGATATTGGTGTGGTTTGATGGGATCCCCTCTAAGTCTTCTCCTCTCCAGACTAACCAGGCCCAGCTCCTGCAATCTGTGTTCATCAGGGTTCATCAGGTTCCAGACCCCTCATCATCTCTGTGGCCTCTGCTGGACCCTCTCCAGTATCTCCTGGTCTTTCCTGAACTGTTCTTTTGAGATGGTCTGAGAAAGGGTGGTGTGCTGTGCTGTACAAGTCTGTTACACAGGTATGCTGGTGTATAGGAGGGAGAGTGGGATCCTGGGGTGCATCAGGAGGAGTGTGGCCAGCAAATCAGAGAGGGGATCCTACCCTAGTGGGGCCACATCTGGAACAATGTGTCTAGTTCCTCAGGACAAGAAAGACCAGGAGCTGCTGGAGAGGGTCCAGCAGAGGCCACAGAGATGATGAGAGGTCTGAAGCATCTGTGGATGCTCTGTTCCTGGAAGTATCCAAGGCCAGGTTGGACAGGGCTTGGAGCAGTCTGGGATAGTGGAAGGTGTCCCTGCCCATGGCAGTGGGTGGGAGTGGATGAGCTTTAAAATCCCTCGCAATCCAAACCATTCTGTCATTCCATGATTTGTATGTGATGACACATCCTTATTGAAATGGGGAAGGAGGAAAGTAAAAATGACCACGTTTTCTGAGAAAGTGTTTATCTTTAAGATGTTGTGAGGGATCCATTTGAAGGGTAGGGAAGGGTTTGAAGCCACGCTTTTGGACTGGTGGGAGCTATACTGTTGGTATGACCTGGAACGGCTTCAGCTGGACTCTGATGGCCATCATATACTAGAGTTGTTAAATTGTTGTTTCTCCAAGGAGAAGGTGTTAGGCCTATGGAAGTAGCCCAGAGGTAGATTCAGGTTCCTGGTTGCCTCCTGAACTGCACTGCTAAGGAAATACATGTTAAAACTGCAGCTCTAGGCTCCCCGGTAGAGGAAAGACACCACCATACTGGACCCTGAAGCTGATTAAGAGTGTGTGACATACAAGGCAAGGTTGGGAGAGGTGAGACTCTTCAGCTGGGAGGAGAGAATGATCAGCGAGATCTTATAAATGTCTGTGAATACATGGTGGGAGGGAAGAAAGATGATGGAGCCAGACTTTTTTTCAGTACCACGGAGCAGCAGCACAAGATGCAATGAGCACAAACTGATAAATGTTTTTGGTCAAACAGAAGAAAAAATATTTACTGCTATGATAATGGAGCACTGGAACAGGTTTCCTAGAGAGGCTGTGACATCTCTATCCTTGGAGATAATCAAAAGCCAAACAGAAATGATCCTGAGGAAACTGCTGTAGTTGACACTGCTGTAAGGAGGGGAAATGGACTAGGCAACCTTCAAAGGTCTCTTCCCCCCTCAGCTGTTCTGCATAGCCATGATTCCTTAATGTGCTTGAAGAAATGTGTCTTTGTTTTACTTAAAGCAATACATTTTCTTTGCCCGTGCCTTGTTGTTTTATTGTTCAGTTGCAATAAATTGAAATTTTTTAGGGTTTTTTTGTCTGCCGGTGCTAACATTCAGTTTGCTCTGCAGATACCCTCTAGCATGGCAGGTGAAGAAGATTTCTTTTTGGAAGAAAAAAGATTCAAGCAGCACTGTGAAGAATTTGTTAAGCATTCACAGCAGATAGGAGATGGCTGGGAGTGGAGAACTAACAAGGTAAAACAATCATGGTGTTAACTTTTAGGTACCCTTGATGGCCTTTTTGAGCTGTTGACAACCACCACAAGCTGGAGCATCCTTTAGTAACATGTGAAATAACTGTCATTTTTTTGCACAGCAGGTCCAAGACTAAAATAGTGCATGGATGGTTGACATGAGGGTTTAGGCTAGTGCATGTATTGAATAGGGTTGTAGGTCTCTGAGTCCTGTCCAGGATATAAAAGTCCATTTTCAACTTTGGACAGAACTAGACAATGAATGTGGTATCACTGTGAAATTCAAACCTTCCTACTCTGGGCAACTGCCCGTGGTTTTATATCCAAGGTTCACTTCAGTCCTTTAAGCTGAATTAGCACATAGTCTTTGTTCTAGATCTGTGGCTTAGTATTTTTGTAAAAATACCTGTCAGTTGCATACAGCAACCAGAAGAATCTGTCAGTGTCAATGTTCAATTCTCATTATTTGCTGCTTCCCCATAATTTTCAAACCTCTCCAATAATAATTACATATTGTTTCTAGGTCATTAATCAAAATTTTAAATAGCAGAGGGCTAATAGTAGTCCCACAGGATCCCATTAGAATCACTTCTTTTATGATGATTTCCCCATTTTTAAAGTTACATTTGAGGTCTTTGAATTAATAATTTTTTTATCCTTTAGTATGTCTCAGATCAGTGTGGGATTATTTTATTTTTTTTAATTTCCACTCATAGAATCAACAGATATCTTTGGGAATTCTGAGCATGTAGTTTTCCAACTTCTATGTTTATGAATCAAACATGTATTTTTAAATTACCCTGACAAAATCTGTTTTCTTTAAAAAATTACATTTACTGTATGTATCTCTTTATTTACTGAATTCCGTATGACTTCTGTTATTTTTGCTTGGGATGAGGTCAAACTAATGTGAATAGTTACAGAAATAGGTGAATAATTACATGAATTAGCCACTATATAATATGTATTATAGTGTATAAAGGTGTACTGATAGAGTATATAAGGATGTATTGATACATGCTGGGTTTCTCCAGCATCTAGGTTTGTCTGTGTATTCTGTTGCAGAAAAATTACTGCTCTGCCTTGTTTAATTTATTTTGAAGTTTAATGGCTTTAGTGGTTTCCCATGCTTTCATGAATTTTGGGGAGAAAAATCATGCTTTTTCCAATGTGTGCCATCATTTCTACGTAAGTAACTGTACATTAACAGTTGTAACCCTTGCATCACAGATGATCACAGTTTCAGTAGGAAGCAAGATTTTGGACTTAGGATTGTTCTGTTTTGGAGTTTTTAAAAAAGTGCAAATATTAACCAAGTGTTACAATGCACCTTTTCTTACAGAAAACCATTTGAAACTTTAGATTTTAGTCCAGGGCTATATTTGTGAGGATTTATTCAACAAAGAAAGATGCTCTGAGACTCTTGGGAGTTTAGTACATGGGTCAGAGTCTGAACTTTCTGTGAAATAAGAAGCTTTGCTGGAAGTAGCAGAATGAGATAGATTTTTGTTCTCATATAAAAAAATACTAAGAGGATTTGTTTTTTTGTTGGTTTTTTTTTAATGGGCCAGGTTGATGACTCTGTGATTTCAGTGTGTGATAAAAACCTGGCTGTGGAGACCATCCATCTACAGTATGTAGCCTGGGAAGAAAGCTTTTCCTGAACAAGATGTCTCATTGTCTTTTTGCCCCCCTCCCTTTTTTTTTTTACTGATGTATGTATTGTGGGTAGTTTGGGACACTCTTAATTTTGCTGATGTAATGCACTTGGATTCCATTCCTCATTCCATGCTCCATGAATAGACCCATTGATAGCAGTAAGACCACACAAGTAAACTAGGCTCATAGAACTGTGTTCCTGTGTTCCCGTGTTTTATGTGGAGATTAAATTTAGGTGATGAAATACTCATTGTTTGTGTGGAGCTGGCTCTTGTGGCATAAGCTCACATGGCCGAAGCAGAACCCTGTATTTATAGCTGTAAGTGAAATGTTCTAAATGATGTTATTTTTATAATCTGGAGTGTTTTGGTTTGGTTTGGTTTGTTTTTTTTCCACACGAAGAAAACTGTAAAAAAGCCAAGAGCACCTCTACTGCAGGAGCTGATGGAGTTAAAATTGGGTGCTGTTGTTAGGCGTGGATGGTTAAATCTTGGCTGTGAAGGCTGAGATTTAACTAAAGCAAACAAGGCCCTATTTGCTTTCTGTTTTGTGTTTGTTTCGTATTTAGCCACGTTAATCTAGGTAATCATACCAAAAGCTGTATTAATTCCCTTCTGCCTGTGGTACTCACAGATGGAGTAGAAATGGACTCTCTTTCCACGTTAGTGGGATCAAGGTCCTTCCTAAAGCATTGATTTATTTATGGGGGCAGAAATGTATAAAGTACAGGAGGGATGCTTCTCTCCTGCCTCCTCCTCTTTGTTCTGTGACATACAGCTATAAGACACAGAGACTGCCAGCTCCATGTCTCCAGCTATCCATACAGTTTTTTTCATGGATGTGGAGTTTGACTCCATTCTGTTGATGGGAAGAACTGGTTTAGGGAGGTGAAGACTCCATCCAACCTTTCTCTGGCAAAGCTCATTGTGCCTTGGGGCATTTCACCTCTGTGGGAGGCTGAAGCACTTTTTTCTGCTCTTGGTGGGATAAATACCTGTGCAGGTATCTTTACTCATAGGGAGCTCCACAAGCAGACACTTGAGAGGGTGTTGAGAGTGAGAGAAGGGGATTTTGTGTTACCAAGGTAGTTTTTCTATCACTGCTCTCTGTGTACTGGATTCATCATTGCACAGGCTGCAGTTGGCTCTGCAGCCAGAACATCCAGAAAGTTTAGTGTATTCATGTTCTTGATGAGATTTATTGAGAAAATAAGGCATGCAGTAGGAGAAGTTGTGAGAAATGTAATATGTCTGTATATGTATATATAAATATATATATATATATATATAAACTGCCTATAATGTTATTCATGCTTAAAAATTTATGGAAAAATACATGTAGAGAGCATTATCTTTTTTAATGTGTGAAACTTGATCAAAGCAAAGTGAACAAGTAGCCCACAGCAGTTTTTGGAGGTACATAAAGCGTCCTTGAAAAGAGAGAACCAGTGTGTCAGTATAAAACCTATGTTGGTTTAAAGGTCAGAATACATGGAATAAACTGTGTCAGCAGCAACAGATTGACCGAAGAGTTAAATTATATTTAATTTGCAGTCTTGTCTAGTAATGTAGTGCTACATTAATGAATTTTGTAGTGAGACTGTTTGGAATAGAATCCTTTTTCATCAGATATTGTGCATATGCTGTCTGTGTTTGTCTAAAATAAAATGTAATGAAACAGCTAATAAACCCCCAATTTATTTGTTTCCTTTGAGAAGTAAGTTCTTAATGTGCAACTACTGTTCTTTGTGTTCTGTATATGCTTTTTGAAGGGCTCTGTTACTAAACATTTTCTCTCCTTTTGCTTCTAATTAACAAAAATAATGTGCTTATATTTGTGTGTGGGTAGTCAGACCAACAAGTGCGGGAAAAACTCCCAAACCCTTCTCCTACCACTCTGCTGTTGCACAAGGGCCCCTTAGAACTCTAGACCATGGTGCCTGGGAAGCAGAATGATAAAAAGGGAACTAGGAGAAGGCAAAGCTCGGTCTGCTTTTTCTTACATTTGACCTTCAGAGGTGTTCAAGAGAAAGGAACAAATTGTGACTCTGCACACATAAGTTCTGAGGTGGTTTTGTTTTGATTTGTATTTTCAGGACTCTGTAAAGTTAGAGGATGAAACAGAACAAACCCAAACCAATCTAGCAAGAGTTGGGCAGTTAATACTGGCATGAATGCATTGGTTGAAATAGGTCAAAATGATTAATAGCTGCTCATCTCTTAATGACCCCAGTGCATCATCTTCCAGTTCTTTGGCACTCATCCTGATCCCCAGGGAACAGTTGTCTTTTTCCATTAATAGCTATATTAAACTTTATTTTTGCTGTCCAGGTCTTTGACTTCCTCTAACACCAAGGACTGGTATAAACTACCTGTCCTAGTTAGAACAGCTGGGACCAGCTCATCACTGTGTGGGTGTAACCCAAAACTGTATATTCTATACCCTGCCATGCCATTTCCCAGAAACTGTTAACAATAAACCATTTACAGCAGCTGCCCAGAGCACGCCTGACCCCTCAGGCTATAAGCTGGGTGTTAGAGGCCTGTGAGATAGGAGGATGCTCCTGTCCTCACACCCATTGTGGAACTCCTCGACCTGAGGGAGGTACTGAGCATTCCTGCCTGAACCTGAGGATACGTAATCTTGGAGTCTGGGACTTCTGTACCGCTTGTGGGATCCAGGGAAGGACTGGAACTTGGACTAGACTGTGACCACCTCTCTCAACCAGACTGAGACCACTACTCTTGACCAGACTGCGACCACCTCTCTAAACCAGACTGCAGTCACCACTCTCGACCAGACTGCAACAGCACTCCCAACCGGACTGCGATCACCAGCCTCGACTGGACTGCAACCAGCACTCTCACCAACAGGTTTTCCCTCTCCTTTTACTTTTTGGACTCAGGGGGACCACGTGGGGCTCAGCACGGGGAGGGGAGGCCCAACGAACACCACTCTGTTCATGCCCCAGGGTGGGGTGCTGGGTTATACATCTGGGTTTTGTGGGTTAAAACCAATTGTTTGTCTGTGTAATTGTATTTATTGTATTATTTTTATTAAATTGTTATTCTGACTTATAATCTCTTTTGAGTTAGGTTCATTTCCCCTGCTGGTTTACCTTTAAACCAGCACATTTTTGGTGCCCAACGTGGGGCAGAGAGAGAAGTCAGAATCACAATTTCATTTTAAGCATTTGTCTATTTGGATACAGAAACTCCCTGATCATGATGTTGTTTGATGTATTCACGTGGATGTTGTATCTGAGCCTGTTCATATTCCCACATAAGGAACTATTTGCCTATTCTGATGCTCTCTGTAAGACCAGGGAGAGCGATCAAAATT